AGGATTAGTGTGTGTGGCCCGATAGGGGTCGGTAGGTGGATGATGGTCTCCGATGTTGGTGACGAGAGTAAATGATAATGGTGTGCGTGCATGGCCTAGTAGCCTCATAATGATAATAAATGAGGGGGGGCTTGGGTTAAGTAATAGAATGTTGGTAGAAGTATGAGGTTTTATATTGTTATATATCACACCTGTAATTTGATTTTTTTTACTGTACTGAGTTATATGGACTCACTTTTTACTCTTTACAGATGATGTAGGAACGGAGTCGGAATCGAGGTTACTGGCGTCCGAACCTAGTGTATAGAGTAACAGGATAAATATTTTCTTTTCTTTTAACAGAATTGAGTGTGTAAAAGTTGATGGTAGGTAGATAGTGAGTACGGTTGTATTATATGCGATGTCTCGTGCATGATTGTAGGTTTATCTTGACCATTGAATATGAGATCGTGATAGCGTTTTTATATGCATGACTGATTTAATTATGGAATTGGTTGTTTTTAATTACATCCTAGACGTGAAAAAAGGAAAAAGGAAAAAAAAAATGCGCGTTACATCAAATAAGTAAATTATGATTAAGTTTACATATTAAATAATTAAGATTTAAAAATTAAATATGAATATAATATATATGTGCAAAACAAGGATACAATAATGACATACCAAAAAATTATATATATACATTCTTATTTTTAAATGTCAAAATTATAAATGAATATGTTGAAGTGGGTATAAGCAAATTACCTCTTCTGCTGTATATTCTTCTTTGAAACCTTTCTCCATGGTAGCCTGGTAAATCAATAAATTTTCATATATATATATATATATATATATATAAACCATAATAATTTTCAAAGGAGAATGCAAGGCGTACACGTAACGTCGTAATCTAATACCAAATATCATCTTTAAAAGTAAATTTTTAAAATAATAATAATTGTCCATTTCTTCATCAGCCAATAAAATCTAAAGACGATTGAATCTGATCCAAAAAGAATCACGTTTGAATAAGAAAATAATTATACCTGTTTTTTAATATTTTTTAATGTATAAATAAATATAAAATTTTGGAAAAAAATATACCTCTCATGTTTTCATGGCGATAAAATGGTTATTTAAATATTTTTTATATAAAATTATAATAAATGCATTTGTTATAATTAAAACGTATTATTCTAATTTTTTAAATAAGTTCAACAAATATGAATAAAAAAAAAATTTTAAAAAAAAACCCATTAGCTAAAGGATTCGGTACATTCATACTAATAATGGAAGAGAATATACTCTATAAAATGACCTAATTATTTTAGTACATTTGTTATAATAAAAAATCACTTTTTTAGTTAATTTCTTTAAATTACTCAAATATTAATAATTATTTTAATTTTTTTTTGTTGAAAATAAAAGAAAAATAAACATTTAAACTGAATATAAAATATTAAAAACTAATTTATAATAAGTGTTAAATTTCGTAAATTAATTTAGTAATTTATCACAATAATTGTTATAACCAAACTTTGATATGTTTTCAACAATAAAAAGAATTACTTATAAAATTTGAAGGAGCGTCTCATTTTCCTATGAATATATAAATATAAAAATAGATATGAATGCTTTTGATTGATAAATTATTTCCCCAATAAGAAACAAAAGAAGAAATCTTATATAACGCCTCTGTCTCCTTTCATTTGCAGAAAGTTGATTAATGCATACATGTATACATACTATATGATATAAGAAAGTTCAAATCAGATGTTTTGATAAATATTCAAAGGGTGTTCGTACAGGAGGGGGAATAAAGAAGCCGAGAAGCACTGACCTGAGAACAGAGAGAAAACAGAGCATGCAGCAGATGGACTCCCTCTTTCAATGAAGGAAACAAAGACTAATCATAAATCATATAATCTTAGATCTGTATGTACGTATATATACGTGTGTGTGAATATGCAGGGTGCGGGAGGGGAGAGAATAAGAGAAAAGAAGATAAGAATACAATTAGAAAGAGACGATCAACTACTCTGTTTTCATAAGAACATTAAAGGTTAGGTGAGACTTGAGAGAGGTAGTGGGCTCCCACCTTTTGATAATAAACCTCGTT